GAGAGTAACAATAGTAGCAAAGTGGCAGCAGCGCAGGCTGTAAAAGACCCTGCATAGGTACTTGAGTGGCCAGCCAAGGCTGTCAGGGCTCCAGTACTATTGCTATTTAATGTAGTGAAACTAAACTAGCTAGTCAGTCTCCAGATGCTACAGACGCCCTCCTCATTTCCACGCAGATACATTCTATGGCATGCAGTTGGATGGTGTTAATCTAGTCATGAGAGGGTGGCTCTGCACCATCCCACTAGCCATTACCTGGCAAGGGCTGTGCTACTGCCTGGGGGCCTGGATGTGAAACCCACCACACTGGTTCAATAATCCAACAGGAGTGATATGTGGAAAGCAACAACCAACCACAAGTGACAAACATTGCTTCAGCTCCCTCAGTATCAAAGAACCAAGGATTATTCATAGGATCATAGAACTGGAAGGGACCTTGAGAGGTGTTCAAGTCCAGTCCCTTGCAGGGCAGAGAAGGGCCTTGGTTAAAACAGTTTTAATCTGGACATCTCTCATACAGCGATCACTTGCTGAATTTAACAAGAGGAAATTGGAGGGATGCCCTTACTTTTGGTACAAATGAGGGAGCTCTGGGTCTCTTCCTTTCTGATACCTTCAGGCTGGTCCACAGCAGGGAAGTGCAGAGGGAGGAAGAGAAGAGGAACAGACAACAATGAACAAAATAATTCTGGAAAGCACATCTTTGTAGCATCTAGTATTACTCAGGGATATTCGAGGGAAGGTTACTGCCCTTCCAATCTGGGGGATGGGGAATCACTCCCTCCTTCTCTTGGTAGCCAACAGCCTTGGCTCTTTGTGTGCCATTCTGCTCCTCCAGGAAAGCAGCAGGGAAGTGGGCAGAAGAAATTCACAGCTGAGGAGGAGATCTGAGCACAGTTCCAGCTTTCTCTGGTACAGCGACTGTCAGACACTTCACATGACAAGTTCTGCCCCTTTCTCTTCACCCCTGCAGCATTCTTACAGAAATGGGCCAAAGGTACCAAATGCATCAAAAAGAATTTCCCTAAAGTCTGAGATCATCTCTTCCCCACAGTCGTCAGTAGGCTTCCACAGGTGAAAAAAAAAAGGCAAATTGGCCCCATGAGTGTCTGGTTCTAGACATGGCTGCAATAATATGCCAGATGCCATCTAGTAATGCAAATTCTGTTCTCAGTTACAGCTGGACTTATGGCCACTCTGCACCACCCTGGCTATGTGCCTGCAACCATATCTCATCACCCACTGTTGGGGGACAGGGGACTGCCAAAGAAGATACTCAGGTAGAAAGGCTTGTGGTTTTGGTGATGAAGATGCCTGGCTCTGGCTCTGCTGACTATAGGAGGTGGTTTCTTTAGATGTGCGTGGATGTATGGCTTGAATGACAGCCAAATCCAAGCAAGTGAGGCCTGTCACAAAATATGTGGGATGGTGTAGTTTCAGCAGAGGTCATTTTGGTACAGTGTTTGGCAACTAGTTTGGAGAGAGTAGGTTGAATTTTGATGCTATAACTCCTGTGTGGATTGCAGCCTGGCCCACTACGTCCTATGACAAGTATCAGAGGGGTAGCGTGTTAGTCTGAATCTGTATAAACAATGAGAAATCCTGTGGCACCTTAGGGTATGTCTACACTACCCTCCTAATTCGAACTACGAGGGTAATGTAGGCATACCGCACTTGCAAATGAAGCCCGGGATTTGAATTTCCCGGGCTTCATTTACATGAAGCCGGCCGGCGCCATTTTTAAATGCCGGC